ATTCACTTACCAAAAGTTTGATTTTATGTTCAGCGAGGAGTGAAGGACCGATGGGAATCATGGGAGGTCACTAAATGTTTGTTAAACCGAACTAAATCACTGAAACTAGTTACCAATGAATACAAATCGACCCACAATTCCTATCSCGCGCACATCGACCCACAATTCTTATCGGTTTCAACCTCACCCTTTCGAATTCACAAAGATAGTCTAGCGTGAACTATCGAGAAATTCCCATTTAACATGGTTGTTCCGAAGAGTTGCCGATAATGTTCCGATGGCTTCGGCAAATTTTCGGAATGTTGGTAACTAGAAAGTAAACGGCGACAATGGTAGCTCGCTCCACGGTACTATCGAGAAATTCCGCGGGAAACTGTTATCGTGGATATACGAAGAGTTACCGAATAGTTCCGAGACTTTTGCTTTTTTACGTTCGGCCTTCGGCAACTTTTCGGAATAATGTGAGAGAGAGAGAGAGAGTTGGGGCCGTCTATCGCAATGACATACATAACAGCAGTTTTAACTGTTTGAAATAAAAATAAACTTACCATTGTTGTTTGATAATAAGATTTATCTTTCTGGGTCCTTTCTTCGGTTGTATTGTCGCAAATAATTAAAAATYAAAAATTGTCGTCGCTTCTTAGTTTTCTTTGAGAAACGTTTRTCTTCCTTCGGCTTTTTTCCCAAAAATTTTCTTGTGTAGCGTTTCGACTCGARAACAATTTTAACAARTTCTTCGTAAGGATTTTTCTTTTTATATGCTTTGCTGTCTTRCCTTCTCATTTTATCGTATTAAACAATAATTATATTTATACCAGTATTATATATCAAATATTCCCATTATCTAATTACAATTAATATTCAGAGCTCTTTGAGAAACTGTATAAGGAACAGGTTAAAGCCCATTTCCGGCCAAATATGATTATTTCTGCTCTCTTTTTGAACTGTTTGTTTATTTTTTACTCGTTAAGCTTTAATCATTTCTTTTACTTAAAGCAAGATTCATCATTTCGGGTTAACCAAAAAGAGGATGTCGAAATAAACGGCAAATATTATGCAATTACCACAAGAAACTAAGACATGAATAAATAAGCTGGGATTGCTTGAAGCAATCTGACACAGAACTTCATGAAACAAAGGCAACGAAATATATATTTACATATTAAGATAATTAATCCAGAAAGAAGMTGATGAATTTTCTCCTTTTCTTCAATAAAATCTGGAAAAGCAAGGGGAGTTAAATCGTGGGAGTTCGTCGTCGAAACGCAACGGAATGCTGAGTCGACGGTCGGGCATTACGTTACAAAGACTGAAGAAACCACAAAACTGGCCACACTATTTCTTCGGCATCAGCGCTGGGTTAAAGAGCCCGAATACATGATGAGTACTCGACATACGTCATTTTACTTCCGTTTAAGATTTTCTTACAGCGATGATAGCTACCATTGAGACTTTGCAGGCCAAAAACAACTTCACCAGRCAACACACACACAAAAAAGAGAAGTTGTTTATTTATAGTGAGGGCAATCAACCCGTGAAACAACTTTTAAGTTATTAAAATAGTCAAGCCGTTAATGACATTGCAAGTGCGCCGTTGCCTATTAAACAATTTTATAATATTCTTGGTGTGCAAGTYACGTCATCACCGCCATGTTGGATGAAAATCACAAAGCATTCTTCATTAGTTTCTCTTGTTCATTCATCTATCATGGCGGCGATAGATTTGTTCTTATATTTCTCAGGGGATTCCTGGTCATGTGGTTGCACACCAAGAATAGTTCGAACGCTCTGATTGGTCCAAGCGCGTGATTTATATCGCCGGTAAATGCACGCTCGCGGGGATGACTAACTTTCTTTAGTATAAACATACTAATGGTCTATCACTCAKACTGCGCTGTGATTGGCTACTCTACTAATGRTCTAATTTGTGATAGATACTCGCGGGAAAATCAAAATGGCGGCATCTCATTRATAAATTATTTTAAGGATATTTCAATTTGTTTTCATTATCTGACCGATTAGTATGTTTATACTAAAACAATTAGACCTCTCGGCCTCGTGGACGACGAGCTAATAGCCCATTCGGCCTCACGGACTCGGCCTCATGGGCTATTAGCTCGTAGTCCACTCGACTTCGAGGTCTAATTGTTAAAAATCATAAAAGAAATAAAAGATGGATTAATTTGCGTTTATTGGTGGAATAAAGCACTTGAGGATGTTGGGAGAAGAAACGCCAAAATCACTTGCTGCGCTCGTAATTTTTTAAGTCTTTTTTYATGTTCTCCCAACATACCCCGCGTGCTTTATTTCACCAATAAACGCACGACAATCCAYCAAAGAGRTTTTTGACCAAAAATTTATCGTTTATTTTGTACGTTTTAGACTTGTACTAAGGGTACTTTACTTTAAACATATATTTATACAATTATGACAAAGTCTTTTGAAGTCAAACTTCAGAAAAAGCTTTCATCGCTTTCTACTTTATTCTAGTTGTCATMACAACGACCTTTAAACTTGTACATCACCTTTCAAAAGTCATTGTCAGATTTGAACTGCAGCTGTCGGTAAAACCAGTTTTGACAAGGGAGGAAACGCATGCACAGTACGTAGTACACGTTCTTACTGGAATATCTAATGAGTGTCACTGATCAAGATTTGTTTACTAACAAACTTTAAGAATAGTTATTTAAGTCTTTATTCCTTAGTTTGTTATTACTTACTATTCTTCAKTGCATAAACGTATTGTCTCCGATGATTCGTTAGATAACCCTTAAAAACGCCTAGAACACTTTACAGTGAAGTTTTCGGAACATACACCTATTTCAAAAAACGTTGTCGGGAGAACGGCGATTGTCGAAGGGAGATTGCCAACGAAAGGGACTTTGGTTACACTTATTGGTCATGGATTCGCCTTACAGAGAAATGGAGACTAAATGGAGCCAATGTTTACCACAGACCATCTTACAATACAAATCAGTTGTTATTGCCTTTCAACTAGCATAATCCATGGGTACTTTCGATCGTGCAATCGCCATTCGACAATCGACATTCGCCATTTTATCCGACAATCTTTTTGAAATAGCTGTATATTTAYTTGAGAAGTTGGTTTAGACTCGAAAGTTTAATGCCATACAGGGACGACGAATAAAGATCCATGTAACACGTAAAGCGAAAATAACAAGAATGAAGATGGCTACGGATATGCAAAATTATTGGATGATGTGACDTCAAGAGCATGCACAACGTAAAAATTATTTAATGAATTATTGCACGATGTATGWCGTCAGAGTCCAACATTAAAAACTATGACCAAAGACATGATTTGATTGCCCTAATATAAAATATACAATTGCAKGTCAAAACGTTTTGTTATATTTCGTCACCATTTTTTCGTGCAATTCATCTGCGACCGTCGGCCTACGTTGTTRACACACTATTTGTATAGCCCAATTTAGACGGTACAACTAGTTTTGCCTACAACTATCGCATGCAATCTGCTTAGTTAGCCTTACAACATGGCTACAACTGTCGTAGAGATGAAAAACAATTGTTTGATAACCATACGACAGTTGTAGCCACGTTGTAAGGATGACTTACGCAGGTTACATGCGATGGTTGTAGGCAAAAGTTCCACCGTCCAAATCGGCCTTTACACAGTTTCACMGTGCGGCTTTCYTAACGAGCTATCGTTGTTAGCCTGTGTATTTGCTTATTTTATTTATTTATTTATGTATTTTTTTCCTTTTGTTTATTTGTTTATCTATTTATCTTATCTATTTATTATTTTCCTGGTCGCCGACCGCTCATTGACGGATTAGCTTGGTCCGGGCAATTATCATAATTAAATAATTTGAAACTGTACGATTCAAATCTCCTCCTCCCGCGACAAATGATATTTTACTGTATACAACCACCCGTACTTTTGTCTTTAAGTCGACATGACAGACTGCACGCTTTTTTAACGGTTTGGCGTAAGAATCAACAAAGTTATCTCACTTAGGGGCTGTCGCGTTTTCAATACAGTCTAAGAGTGCTGCGTGATTGTCACGCGTGACAGAAAAAAAAAGTTCTACACATTTTTGGTCTCATCTTTAAAATATTATACGATGATGCCAATAAATCGCAGTGACACTACGGCGCTTTTCCTAAWCTTCAAGTTCTTTTATGAAAAGATTGAGATGAAAAATGATATCACGAATGGAAAAATAWAGCAGTGACGTATGAAGACTCCGTAATCACAACACCGGGGAAATCAGACAACAAACCGCAACGTAACCACAGGCAACCCATGATTAAACATGCAGGCTAGCCTCGTGAGACGGTATGTGCTATTTAAAGATTATTGATTCTTCACATTATCGGTGATGGAGCGATAACCACTTAGAGAGCTATAAACATGATTGTTCTCAGCTATGTTAGAGATTATGTTACCTATCAAAGTGACGAACAACTCGAGAATGCAGCTTGGCTCATGSTACGACAATGCAAGCTCGCTGGGTCACTCACGTGAAAAAGTGTTTTAAGACGAAATCGAGATTATTTTCGGATTAAACCATCGAATTTTTCCGTGTTTTACGTGACTCAAGCTTTGCCAAAGCACTTGGATTATCGCAAGACTTCAGCTTGAAGATCGGCTGCACAAAAGCTGTTGAAATATTTCCTATTAAGCTACATTGTGTGGATACTCTTACCTCGTTGCGAAAAAGCTTGGCATTATAGAGATATCTTGTCATATAATATTAGTGCATTCGTTCATGGAAGCCTTAAATGGTCACATATGTTTATTTATGGCTTCTCAAGCAGCTGTTTGTCAAAGCTCTGGTGATCTTGTTCAYCATATCCCAGCTTATCTGAGCGACCTAGAATGGCCTTGGAGTTTAAGCCACGGCACTTGTATATTGCCATGCATTGAAATCACGAATGTTTCTTGTCGTACGGTAACCTCTTTCCCCTATCCATATTATGTTATAATAACAATGATAAAACAGTWTTGCACCTACCTCACTTGTCAGCCCAGATGTTGAACGCTACGTCACTAATGTGAATTGTACAAATTGATTTTATGGTTTTTCAAGATTGGGTTATACCGAATTTCACATTGAATAGCTGGTTCTGTGTTAATTCTTATCACGAGTTGTCGCATGGCATATCGTGCAGTGAACCACGAAAAAAAATACACGTTAGGCAATCCCTTGCGAGAGATAARATTCATTCTTGATGCAAAGGACTACATTTTTTTTTCAGTTTTTTTTTCAGTTTCTTATACAGTACGCAGGGAACCCACGCTCCTCAGTAGTRACGAAACTCAATAGACGGAGACGGCCTGGGCTGCAAATTGAGTGAAGTCAAACTGCGAATTTTTAATATAGGTCGAAATTTAATCAGTAACGAGTGGTAATGAGGCCAGCTGTCTGAATCGTGTCTCGTTCAGTAGTTTAACTTTTAAACGCGACATTTTAGTTAATTTTACACCGAGTCAATTTGTGTCAGTGAAGGATTTGTTTTGAGCAGTTTTATCAGTCATGAATGTCTGACCTGATTCATTAATTCGTAAAAAAAATAATTAATTCACAAATTGATTATAAATTGAAGAAAAGGGAAAAAATGAGAAATTATACGTTTTCATTCATTTTGTTTTCCTGTTTACAAATTTTGTTTCTACTTTTCTTGAATCGGCCAATCGCAGGAGATGTATTTAAGAAGCCAGAAATAGTCGAAATAGCACTATTTCACTGGCTATACAAATACTATTTATAGTTTTCTTGTTTTACAAGTTGTTTACCTCTATTATTATTTCCATTGCATTATGAACGAAAAGACAAAAAGGCGACAGAACTAACTGACTTATGGTTTAACCRAAGCCGTTTTAGCCAAATTGAACAGACATTCACACTGCGTTRGTTATAAATGAGTGAATTTTACGACAGTCTACCCACGCAGTATTAAAAAGGAATCAGTGTTTTACMAGTTGTTTAGTTCCTTTACTACATTATAAAATAGGAACGAGAAGACAAAAAGACGCCAGAAATGACTGACGTCTAGTGAACTAACAGCCGTTTTAAACTCCAATTCAAACTGAGTTTGTATTAAAAGAGTAATTTAGAAACAGCCGACCAACGCAGAATGAAAAGGAATCGGTGATAATAATAACTTGTCAATGGCTATTCGTAAGCTGCAAACTTCATTACGCAGCAAGCCCAATTAGCTCTAAACGCCCATCGAGTGATTAAAGTCCACTAGTCAACTTATCAAATATTTAACACTTTAAATCATTAATGAAAATGTTTGAATCTAATCWATCCGTAAAATTGCATACGCTATTATTTGAAAGTGAGCTATTTACTAAAGCGAATCGTTTCCCTTAGCTTCCTCTCTTCTCATCCTCTCAGCCTACGCTTCTCAACCAATAGAAGTATTTCATCATTCCGCCGCCTTTGAGTCCTTTCCCCCGTTTATTTAAAAGATATCAAGAATCTCTTTCTTTATTTGTATTCAAAACCGCCTCCTGTTGAAAGAAAAGATTCGCTTTGAGGAAGTAGCTCTTACAATGGAACATTTTTAGACTTTTTTAAAAAACGGACGCCATCTTGAACTCCATGTTGACTCCGCAGTAGAAATAACCGCCATTGAATAAGTCGAAGCTACAACTTTTGGGTGTTTTGACACAAGTTTGTTAACAGATTTCAAATATATTGGATGTTTTGGGAGCAATTACTACGGTAAGAATAGAATTATGCCAGGAAAGACATCCGTTGTCAGGAAGTATTGGGTCAGGTCGCAGCGCCMMAGAACATTGCTGGCAATTGGTTGGCTCAACACAGCGTGACTCTAAAGAACGAGGCATAAAAAATARAGCCTATTSTTCTAGCYAGCCAATCACAATGACTTTTAARTATTYAGTGATAAACATTTCAATAAACAGGCGTTTATTGTGGTGGTCGATTTTAATAATTATRGCTTAATTCCATATCATAAAATATAACAACTTCTTAAAAATACTTTCAGTTTTACACTTTCTTGATTTGTATCTTGATCATATAAGCTTTATTAWTATTATTTTTTGAAAAAAATGCCCTCTTTGTACCTATGTGAAAATAGTTAAAATTAATTAACAACTGATCAAAATATTGAGATTTGYTTCCACCAAGGTAAATCCTTACACGATTTCTAGAGCTCAGTGTATCTGATTGAAGATAAGAAAATTATTTTATTTTGACTATTTTCAAATAGGACAAAATGCGACGTTATAAAAATATGTGTATATCACTCTCCTCATTTAAAAATCTGTTATATTTTAACAAACATAACATAACAAATACGATTCATCGGTTTTGCTGACGGCCATGTCGAATAMTAGKGRAAAAAAAAMAMARRRRAA